TTGAACATGAGCAAGAAACTTTTCTGCAATTATAAGCCTTATTGCAGGTACTCGTTTGTTTGCACATCATATAATACATACATTGCATTGTTTTACCGCATTTTCAACAATCATTTGAAGAATAAAACAGTATTTTTGATGAATCTATATATTATATCAATTATGTATTTTTTAGAAAGTTTTTTTTTTTCTTTAATTATTAAATAAAATACTTGCTTTCAACCACATTTTTCCTAATCACTATGCTCTGTATCCTGATGAGTTTGACAGACCACAACATAAAATCTTCAATAGGGCAAATTTGTGTACCACGATCATGATTTTCTGTTTTAAGATTTAATTCCTCAATCATCCCAACTTTTACCACTGTAAATGTATGAAGAATCCAAAATTTAAAATTTGGATTTTCATGTATACTTGAAGAATTTCGTAAGAGAGTTAGGCAATAATCATATTTTGAAGGATTCATTATATGCCATTCATTTTTACAATTACTCATATAGTCATTAACTATTTTTTCAAAGGTTTGAGGCAAAATAAATGGATAAATTTGTGAATCATGTTGAGATAAAGATATTGAAATAGAAAAAAAAAATTTTCTTTATATATTTTTTAATCTTATTGTTTATGCAATTTAAAAGTTTATTATATTAGAGTCTTTGTTTTTTACTTTCCGCTTTTCTGCTTATATAAGTGCTGTCAAGTGAAAACCTGTCATCGTTCATTCAATTATATTTTGTATTGGATTCAATCTATTTGATTTATTATTGATTGTATCTGGTATAATATAAAATTGAAGTCCTGATGATAGGTTTTCCCTTGACAGTACTCATAACATGTTCGTACGTATCAGTATCAGGTATGTGATTAATTTGAAATAAAATGTGACACCGCAGTTAGGGTTTGGGGTTAGTGTTAGTAGGTGACCTTATACTAAAATTTTGCAAGGAATTTTTTTTGTTAGTGCATAAAAGGTGATTTCTTAGGGAAATTTTGCGATAAGTGAGACTTTTCAAAAAAAAGCGATTGTTGTTTTGATCGTCACGTTACACCTGATCTTGCATCCTGATTGGCAAATATCACAACTGCGGGGAGAAATTAGTAAATGCGACGTACGTACGTACGTACGTCATATTCAGATCGGTATAAATCTTAAAGTAACACATGTTATTCCAAGACCGACGTAATTCACGAACCGACGTATAACATATATATGCGTGTGTTAATTAAATATTTACTTAACTATATATATATTTATATTTATATAAAAATTATAGTTGTAAGCTATATATAAGTTTAAATACACGTAGTTTATATGAAAATTTTATATAACACTAAATAAAATACCTTCCAAATGTTAGTAAATAAATATAATAATAATATATATTAATTTAAAAATAATAAAATCTTAATATCATAATTTTAAGATAGTACTGAATAGGAAAAATAGATTTACGGCAATAAAAAATTTACTAAATAAGATAAATACAAATAATTAAAAATTATACGTTTTGAATTTTTCTATGAACCGTAGAGGAATTTAGCATAAACCTAATGACCCATGAATATGAAATATATTGATCACGAACTTTATTCCATTTTTTAATAGCTTGATTGGCACTAAATAAATTGTAACTCAAAGTAGCTTGTCTTTTATCTTCAAATTCCTCAATGAGATTTTGTATTTCATTAACGCGTGAATCCCAAAACACTTGAAAGGCATTTAGTATTTTAATAATAGAATCCGTTTGAGTAATAATGTCTTGAACTAAACCTCGAACGTTATTCGAATTTGACACTAATTGGCGAGCTTTAATTCTAGCTTCTCGATATCGTTGTTCTTTGTTTGCACTTTCACTGGCAATTTGTGCCATAATAGCTGTACCTAACAGGGAAATACCAGCAGTAAAAGGTGCCAAAGCAGTAAATCCAGTACCGGCAATGATACTTGCCCATTTTCCTACTTTAGCATCTATTTTTTTATCAAGATAATATTCTGCATCTTTAACTCCCTTCATTACTTCATTTTGAAGATAATTTTCATAGTCTTGCAAGACATCAGATATTTCATTCAAGTTTTTATAAATTATGGTATATTCTTCCTTTATATGGTCAGCTTCACTTTTACATTTATTTGCACTCACTAATAAATCCTCGAGCGCTGAAAGAAAATCGTTACCAGATACTCGATCATTTAAAACTGTTTCTATATTTGATATGATCT